CCATTGGCAAGCCACCATCTGGGGTAGCTCTAGGTTAATGCTGCTGGGAATAGAGCTGCAGTTCTGTTACCATTCCAGAGCCAGGGCTGTTAATAATTCAGGAGTACACAGTTGAAATAGAAAGTATTGAACTGGGGATAACCTAGAGATTCTGTTTGTTCCATCTAATAATGGCACAAGGGAACACCCTAATTTGTTGCTCTTTGATGTCTCCACAGAGGGGAAAAAACCCGTAAAATGTGGCTTTGTCTTATCTCTTATCCAAGTACATAAAATAACGTGCAACTTCCCTAAAAGCTTTTAGGGCGGGATATGAGTTTAAAGGAAGAAGAATGACAGTGCTGTTGATCACTCCTCCAAAACAGGGGCTCCCAGCTGCCATGGCAGTTCAGCTGGCAGTACGGGATACTCGGTTTAACAGAGCTCAGTTCCCCTCAGCTCACAAAGTGCTGGGGACAAATTAACTCCCTGGCCCGGGGTGGAGCAGCCTGCAGTGCACCACCTGCAAGGGCACAGCACGATTTCCATCTCACAGTGTTTCACTGCTTCCCACAGAGTGATCTGTTGCTTTGTAAAAATATGTTCTCTCGCACGTTGCCAGTCTGTCACAGAAACCCCTTCCCGACTAGAAAAAGCAAGCAGATAGAACCAAGGCAAGAAGAAAACCCACAAATTTTGGTAGTTAACCAACTTTTATGCTCATTTTTATTTCAATATTATCTTGACTACTATTGTTGCCTAGTAAAAATCCATTTGTTGATGGATTGTAACAGCTGCCTGCTAATAATCTCTCAGCAAGAGAAGGGTAAGCCTTAGTGTGGTGATGGCTGAACTGGTTTCAGCAACAAGTCTGGAAGAGACAACTAGAAATATCCATCTGCTACTCCGTCCTTGTTGGAAAATAATCCCTTGGATACTGGTGAGTCACAGGGACACAGATAAGCTTGGGGGAGCGAGGGGAAAGCTATACTAACAAAATGTAACAGTGTGCATCCCCTAACGCTTCCAAGTGGCTTCACACCTCGACCTCGTCAAAGCTAAGCAAAAAGGTTTGTCTGTTATCCCCCATTCCTGTTTTGTTTTTTTTTTAAATCAGTATTTTCCAATCCAGAGGAGGATCTCCAGGAGGTAATTCAGATCTGATAAAGAAACAGAGGACACCTGGTGGTGTTTAGTTGTTAGCATAAACAAACAGCAAGCCAGCTCAGATGTGTGTGCAGCTGCACCAGCAACAATTAGCGTAATTCATGCTTTAAATAAATAAAATATGAAGCGATGAAGAACCTAAAATAGTCTAATCACAGAAAAATACAGAAATTTAAAACAAACAATATGAGCTGCTGATTCCAGATGCTGCCACTTCTTTATGAAAATTGCTCTTTATTTATAAAGGTTACAGGCAAGAAGTAGCAACTGCATGTTCAGAGGAGGCTGCCACCTCCAACAGGCACATGCTATGGAAAAGTAGGACAGAATCCCCACTACTCAGAAACTAAAGGACACAAAGTTGTCAGTTTTGCTGGAGAAAGATCCACAGAGGCAAAAGCAGAGATCTGAATGAGCCCATCCTGGGGCAGCAGCAGCACCTCAGTGAGGTACTCAGCACCCCCTGAACCACAGCATTTCTGGTACCGTGGAGAGGAACCACTGGGACTGACAGACTGTAAGTATTCAGATTTCCATATTAACTTAGTGAAAATGGTTATTTTTTATTGAAGATGGTGTCATTAAGATACCTCTGTGAAGATCCAATGGTGGAAGATATGATACATGTCTTGGAATTCAGACACTGAGCAGAGTCAGTGAGCCTCCTTCATTCAAAGGAACTGGAGAACACAGAGGCAAGGTAGAAACAAAAACCACACTTGCAGACAAGCTTTCTAGTTATGTGGAGGCTATTCAAAGTTCATATTTTATTGCCAAAAAATTATGCTCTCTCATGAGAAACATACTGCAGTAAGTATTAGAATTTACCTGGCTGAAAAAGAATGAATAAAAGATGACTGTGCAACATACAGAATATTGTACCCTTCCTAACACAACTTTAATGCATGGACTCCATCCCAGCCAAGATTCTAAGTGTGAAAATTTTGTTAAAAAAAACCCCAAAACAAGAACTTGTATCTTTTGAACCAGCACTGAAAACAGAAGAAATCTTATCATCTCCCCTGCTTGTACCAGCACAAACATGTGTGGTAAAGAACACTGGTGACCTGCTTAAAACTAGACTGGTTTAAAAATCTTGACAACCCAAAACAGTTGGTTTTAACCCACATCAATTCCCCAATCTGTTCTGATGTGCAGCCACACAAACACCTACACTGATACAAGTGGATAGAAGAAAACTGCTCCCCTCAACAGCAGTGCTAGCTAAAACTGCAAATCCAACTGAAGACCTTCTGGTGTTTGCAGACTTTGTTACCAAAGTCAGTCAAGCAAAAGTTCCACTGAAACAGATTAGAGGCCAAGTTCAAAATCAGTACAACACATAAGATACCTCCACATAAACTTTCAGATCAGTTCTGAATTTTGTCCCAGATCACAAGCTATTAGTCTCAAAAACTAACTGTGCTATTGGAAACAAAACCAATTTAAATCTTAGTAGTAGATGCAAGAAACAAACTTTAAGTTTAGTCTAAAATACGTAAAAGACAGTCAAGGAAGAATAGCAAAGAACAGAGTTGTAGGAAAGTTGGAATATAAGGGTTTTAAATTATATGAACAAAATCCACCTTGGAAGCCCCAAGGAGAGGACTTGAGCTGGCAAGGTTGAGATGGACAATTGTGCAATACTCAAGCAACCTTTTCCCCAGATTTTTTTCTAATACACAAATACTCAAGCAAAAAGGTTCCAGATATCATACCCTCTCAAGAATTTGCTTTGTTACCTTAATTTTTAATATTAGTCAACAGTATAACTTCACTGAAGGGTTTCCAGTCTGTTAATTTTCAAACAAGCTTCCCCTTTTTTACTTGCTCATTAGAATAAGTGCATTCTAGGTCAATACCATCCATACCAATATCTATAGAGACCTTTAGCTTCTATTTTGATTTAATGAAATTAGACTTCTTTATCGTAGCAAAGAAGGTATTTTGAAAGCCATAAACCATAGGAAGATAAAACGTGATCTTTGGGAACCAGATTCAGGGAAGCACAAAATCATGAGAGAACAAGACGCTTCAGTTTCCTGAGCCACTTTTATGCATTTAGCACTCTCATCGAGTTGAGGCAGGTTTATTATGTAGGACTTGAACATTCAAACTAAGCCAGGCTCAGCACGAGGAGAGCATGAGACAACCCTGAGCACAACCAGGATGATTAAGCGCTGTGGTCTTTGTGTTTGTGTTCCACGGGGAATGTGTGAAGAACTGCAACGCTGGTGATAATTTCTGAGGAAAGCCTTGGAACAGTATAAAACATGAATGAAAAGATAAATAATAATTAAAAAAGGGAAGGAGGAGGAAAAAAAATAATCAAAGAAGATGCACAAAATTGCGAGGACCTAAAAAAATTAAACTGAAAAAAGGGTGGTGGAAGACTAAATGCGAAACTCACCTGCTGAACATCAGCTCGCTGAGGGGACCCCTGAAGGAGCATTGAGAAGCGCCCTGAGGGGACCCCTGAGGAGATCCTGGAGGAAGCCCTGCCCGTGTCCCCGTCGGGAGCCCTGCCCGTGTCCCCGTCGGGAGCCCTGCCCGTGTCCCCGTCGGGAGCCCTGCCCGTGTCCCTTTCGGGAGCCCTGCCCGTG